TATATGCATATATTTATGCAATAATTTTTGGGGATGATCTTGATCATGTTTACTATTTAAGCGGGTTATATGTCTCCACTTCCAATGGATGCTTAAATTTGATAGCATAATTGAGATATATAATATTGTGGTACACCTTTCTTGATGTGATCACTCCATGCAGTGCACTAATTGTAAAGTGAGAATTGCTTTTGAGTTATAAATTACTCACTTCTGCTTTATGGCGATGTGAACCATTACAAAAGAGAATTTGTTGAGTTGGCTCTAGATGGTAACAATTATTTACTGTAGGCCATAAATATTATATCCCGTAAATAAACTTGATTATAGTAATTAGATGATATGAGCCTAGATGATGTGATCTATATTGCACTATATGTTTTAAGTGGAGTTGTAACTTAAATATTGCATATAGCTTTGTCTAGAAGACAAATTCATAACACTGATTATAGCTCTCAATTTTGAAAATATATTTTCCTAGAAGGTAGACTAAGAGCTCTAATTTTCTGTCACCCCTTATGTTGAACCTTGATAATGAATTCAATTTGATAAAAAATGGTCCATATATCCTTGCTATGAATTTTACAATGAGTCAGATTTTAAATACTAATATTTGTTTTACTGAAATTTGACTCACTGCATATCACAAATCAATCCCTCAAGGATTGCTATACCACCTTTTTCACCTAGTACGTGGCTTCGGAAGAAACATTTCCGTAATGAAGTTTGTTTCTCGGCATTAGGGGGAGATAATAGACTAACTTTTAATGGAATGCCAAGGAATTTCATAGAATGAAAACATCTTCATTATTTAAATTCATGTACTAGTTAGACTAAACTAGAAGTTCAAAAGATAATCTATTTGCGACTTTAGCATGCAAATAATCTGCCAAACATATCTATTGATCATAATGATCATAAAAGAGTGACTAGGTCCCATATACCTTTTCCAACTTTGACCAAATATATCTACCGATACCTCTTGACACTGGAAGTGGAGGAGATCTATCGGTGAAAGCGATAAGAATCATAATACTAGATCTAGTAAAGAAACATTGTCACTCTTGAAATACCTTGAATAATTATGTCCTGCAGACGTTCATTCACATGGCGAAAAACCCTAGTAAAATTATGGGTGCACCAAACAAATATAATACTAGGGATGCGGAACGGTCAGATTTAATTGTCTTTGGGAAATGACAACAATCTGGTTGATTTAGAAATTGTCATGCATGAATTTTATAAATATAGGAGAAAATTATGATAAAATGTCATAGTTGCCGACAACACAATTGCCTTTACAATTTGCTCGTTATATGATAATTTGGATCCAGAGTAGTTAGGCACCGGAAGTGTCATGACTATTTAACATACAAATGAGCAATTAAGACGTAGTTCGACTCGCTAAAATGAATATATTCTCTTTATAACAATACACCATTGAGCGTTAACCCTGAAGGTTACAAATGGGTGTGTACACGAAAGAGAAATAAGAATAACGAGGTGATATGGTATAAAGCGAGTTTGTAACTTATGGGTTCACGCAGAGACCCTTTGATTCTAATCAAATATACTCTCCCACGGTAATATACAGTTAATATTTATTTTGAGAAATCCCTGATGGATTTATAATTCCCGAATTTATAATTCCCGAAATAAGAAAATAAAAATCGTAACATGTATAGTATTAAATTACAATGGTCTTTATATATGACATGAAACAGTTAATAATTGACGGAGTATTTTTCTTCCTGAAGAAGGAATATGTATTTATTAAGTGTCATTATGTAGTCTTTAAAGAGTTGCGAATTGAGTTATTATCTTCATGAAGAAGGAATAATATGTACCATTATGTGCTGAATAAAGAGTTGATAATGAACTTATTTATTATCTGAGTCAATATTGATAGTATAAGTATCAATGAAATATCCAAATGAGCTTGACAATGTCAGTTCATATCTAAAGACGGAGATTTTTAAAACAAAAAGGGACTTGAGAAAACTAAGTATTATCCACGCCGTGCACTCTCTGCTTTTAGATGGAAAAATCAGTTCAGATGAATAAATAATACCAACTTTATACCACAATTCAAGCAGAAACCATAATAGTTTATGATGCAACACACTACGTATTGACCCAAAAATTCATTAGAACTACAAACCCATAACAAGTACAAAAACGATTGGCAAATTCATATATAACAGACAGTCGTTATATCATAGACCGCGGTGCATGATAAAAAACGGCGCCGTTTCTTTAAGTAAAGAAACGGCCCACCGTTATAGTTAATGGAGTCCGCTTGTTTGGTGTATTAAACATCAACTGACACTATAGTATATGTAAACCGACACTGCAGTTATATCAAAATGATACTGTAGTTATAGTGAAATGAAACTGCAGTGTATATAAAATGAAACTGAATAACATTTCACATATTTGAGTGTATATTGTACAATGAAGCTGTAATTATATCAAAATGATCATGTAGTTGTGTTTTAATGAAACTATAGTGTATATAAAATAAAATTAAATAACATTTTCACATATTTGAATCTATAAATATCGAATGAAACTATAGTTATATCGAAATGAAACTGTAGTTGTGTTGAACTGACACTGCAGTGTATACAAAATGACACTGAAGAACATGGTTACTTTTTGCAAAAAGGGTGCGAAACGGCGGAAAACAAACACTGTTTATTTTCATTTAAAAAAAAAAAGAAAAAAAGACTTGTGGTGCATGATATAATTTGCCTATAACAGATCCTCCTGGCTCCTGCTATACTGAGGGAATGACAACCATTCTTTACGATCAGACTGAAAAATTGACTCCGAACCAACACATAGGCAATACGATTCGCTGATTGCTTAACAAAAGAGACAAAAGTGTGTGAAAAATCAATTTAAGAGTGATTTTATGTCACCTAAGACAAATAGAATGATGACTAATCATTGCCGTTTGATAGGCCTCGAACCACCAACAGTACATTTATTTCCACTTGATACCTCGTCTTTACCCAGCTGAGCACCTCCCGAATGGCCACTGCCTACGCCACCTTGGAAGAGTAGACTCTTATCCAAGGTCTATTGCGCGCACCATCTTTGCCCAAAGAGACTTCCTCCATTTCTTCTCTCTTGTAAGGAAAAAAAGAAAGAAAAGTTGAGTACTGTTGATGAGTTGATGGATAACACTTAGCTTGCTCCATTTTCTCTCTCTCTCTTCACCCACTCTGTTACATGAAAATGGTTAATAAACTGCTACAATCAACAAAAAAAGAAACTCATAAACAATTATCAGTGACAGACTGACAGGAAATGTATCACTATCAGTGTATATCATAAATCCCATAAGGATTTATACAGAAACACCCCAAAGTGCTATCTGCTGCAACCAAAAAGAGCATCACTCATTCACTTGGATCGCATAATTGAACAACAAGTGAAATTTGGATATATGTTATGAAATTTGGATACTTTAATATTTTCCAACGAACACGGAGGGCATTTTTATAGTTGTTGTATTGCTATTCTTGAATCAACTTTGCGAAAGCCAGAACAGAATCCCAACACCAGTTTAACTGAATCAATGCTAGTGTTGTGATATCCACAAAATCACTAGGAATTTCTCGCAAATTATCGCATTTATATAACTCTAAATATTCAAGCACAGGAGAAACCAAATGCCTCGTGAAAGATTAAGATTAAAAGCATGCATTTAGTTTGTTTGGTCATTATAAAACTAGACTAGAGTAGAAACAAAACAAAATAAACAGGTTTATGCAAATACAACAGATGGACTTATTTAAGTACGTACCCTTATTCATTCGTCACTCTCTACCCCTTCCTCCTCATCACATCCAATCATATCCTGGAAACAATAAATTAAGGGTTATTAAAAAAAAAAAAGAAAAAGAGATGGTGGACACATTTATATAGGTAAAGAAATATGAGATACAGAAAATTGAGAGAAAACATGCACATAATTATTGATTGCAGAGGAATTGCTACCTGGGAAAAAGAATTGAAGTAACTTCATTTCTAGCACGAACAAGGAGGGCTCCATTTCCATAGCTTCGCTGATCATCTTGAATAAGCTTCGCAGAAGTCGAAACGGAATCCAAGCAGGAATCTAATTGAATCAATTCAAGTGTGGCAATATCGGCAAACGCAATAGGAATCTCTCGCAACAAACGGCAATCACTTAACTCTAAATGTTGAAGCACAGGGAAATGATCATCCACAGCATTCCAATCTTCCAAACTCCAGCTTTCAATTACCAACCTTTTCAATTGACGGAACCCTCCCTCACATGGCTGCCACTTTTCTCCCACACAAGCATTTATCAATTTTAGAACTTCTAGATTCGGCAACATACCAATAAGCCTCATATCACTCCATGGCAACCTAGTCTCGACGAATTTGAGCTTCTTAAGATTTGGTAGAAAACTGGTTGCCCATGGGATGCCGCTATAGGGAAGTTTGAGATCCCACCCTTTGATGTTTAGTTTCTCAAGCTGCCCCAAGTGCACAAAATTATAGAAACCATCTGAATTTTCATTTTCAAAATGCATTTCACCTTGAATTCCCAATTTTTTTAAATTTGGAATCCTTGTAAAAAGATGCTCTGTACAACACTTCGGACGCAACCAAGATATAGTCTCTATGTTTCTATGAACAACCTCCGAACCCTCTAATGTAAAAGGAATTCCGTCAAGATAAAAATGCCTTAACAGTGGCATTTTCCAAATTGTAGATGCATTAGAGGAATCCAATATAACACTACATCCACGGACTTGAAAACTTTGCATATTCCAATGCTTAAAGAGCTTTAGTTTAAGAGGGCCCACTTTTTCATTTAGGGACAAAGCTAAGTATCTCAAGTGAACAAGATTTTTCATATATAGCATCTTATCTTCAAAGTTCCAGAGTCCAAGTTTCATGTCTACTACTCTTAATAGTTTGAAGTGACAGAGCACCTTAATGCTGAAATCAACATAACCAAAAGAGTGTAAGGAATGGAATTTGTCAAAGCCCATAGATCTAATTTGAATATTGTCACATCCAGATTTAATACTTATCCAAGGACAAGCCCATTTCCTCTTGTTAAATGGATGTTTTACTGGTCCAGCAACAGCACCATGATCATCATTTCCAATGACATACAAGAAATTTTCATATCGAGCTTCTCTTAAGCACAAGTCTCGCAAGAGATCATGCATCCTAATTGTCTTGATTTTGCCATCATAACTCTGTTTATCAACTATAACAAGACTTCTATCAACAAGATCTTGCAAGCATTCTGTGGCCACTTCCTCCGGATTCTTATTGTTCACTGCCCCGCAAAATCCCTCTGCTGCCCACAACTTAACTAACTTCTTTACACGGATTCCATAAACTTCTGGAAAAACTCCAAAATGTAGAAAGCAAGCTTTAGAGGGGTACGGTAATTGATTGTAAATCAAAGATAGTATACTTGAACATGCTTCATCAAAATTACCAATTACACTTTCTGCAACATTGTTCCACTTTTCCACCTTCTCCTCTGTCTTGGAGAGAAGACTAGCTACTAAAGTAATAGCTAGAGGTAATCCTTTACATCCATTCACTATGTCTCTACCAATTTGCTCAAACACTGAAAGAAATTCTGTTTTACCAAACACCTTGCAGTAGAGACTCCAACTTTCATTCGCTTTTAAGAAAGACATGTCAATGATAGAGTTACCTGAACTAGCAACATAATTAGCCACCTCTCTGAGCCGAGAAATCAACAGTATACGGCTTCCATTATTATCATTTGGAAAGCACCTATGCACACTATCCCAAACATCAGTACTCCATATATCATCCATCACTATCAAGTATCTCTGTTCCTTCAAATGTTTACGCAGACAGACTGCTAATTCCCCTTGGTCATTGCTGCTTTGTTCATCATAACTTGATGCACTAACACAACCGATAAGGCATCTGAGCATTTGCTCCATGTTATACTCTTGGGATACAGTAACCCATGCTTGCTTGTAAAAATAAGATGTAATTGATGGATCCTTGTAGACTTCCCCAGCTAAAGTGGTCTTGCCTATTCCTCCCATGCCAACGATTGATACAACTTGGAGCTGCTTAGCTGATTGTTGCGTGAGCTTATCCAATATCATATTGAATTCCTTGATGCATCCAACAATTCTACTATCAAACTTTATTGAAGCGTTTTTGGAAAATTTACTCACACTAATATTATTCTCGCGTTCTAAATCAGCAGGCTGTGATGATGTTGAACCAAAGAGTAGTCCTCTTTGTCGCATCTGACCAAGGAGTGAAACATCAGTGATCCTTTCACCTTGTGATGGACCCTTTGCAAGCTGCTTTTCACTTTTAATCTTTATCAACTTCTTCTTGAGGTAATCGGTCTGTTTTAAAGCTTCATTGAAGATTCCATGAAGCTTGTGGAGGCAAGCAAGATGCTTCTTCCAAGTGGTCCAACCCTTTGCCAGATAAATGGTAGTCAATTCCATCTCAATCCTTTCTTCAACTTCGAACGCTACATCTCTCATCTCTTCCTCTAGATCTTTCATCGCTCCTGCATCATCATAGGTGATCTCAGATTTCTCAAGACTTTCTTGAAGGAAACCAAGATCTCTATTGAGAGAGACCACCTTTTGTTTGTATATAAGAGCCAGGCATAAGTTTCGTGGTTGTGACTGCAAGAAGTGTAGATATAGTGTTCCTTTAAGCGAAGTTATAGCAGCGTAAGCCATTTGCGTCTGTGTATGTTGTAAGCTTATTGATGATCAGAGCAGAACTAACTAAGAAGAAATGAAAGATGTATGTGATACAATCAGTTTACACAGCAATTCTCTCGTCAACACTAAAGTCTAATCAAGCATGATTTTAAAATTATATTAGTTGTAGTGGGTTAGCAGTTTGTTTTTTTCTCTAGGCTTATTCTCAGATAATTTAATATCAAATTAATATTCTACTCTATGACAATTACGTCCAATTATTTTAATTAAGATTACAAATGATTAAACTCTTTCGATTTATTTATATATTAGTTAATTTGGTGGTTATATATAATATTTAAATATAATTATATGTAGGAGAAACACAAAGAGCTAATAACGCCTCCACTGAGGCTCGAACTCACAACCTTCCAAATGAAAGTCCAACCCGGGTACCATTAGACCATATAGTCCTGGTCAGTTATGCTCTAAGTATAGATTCTCTTACTTCTCAATTTTAACTAAAGTAACGTTTTTAGTCCCTCATTAGAATCAAGCTTCTAACAATGTTAAGCACAGTAACCTGAGAGTGCATTTAGATTTGGTTCAAACATTAGAATTGAAACATTAATAGGAATCAAATATTTAGTAATGGTAATGAGTTTAAGTAGAATGAGTCTTTGTATTTGGTAAAAAATAGAAATTTAAATTTAAATAGTGTTATACTTCAAAGCACTAGTTATGAAAGATTTATTGTTGTACTATTTTTCTCTAGCTAAGTTTTTCCCACTCGATTTTCTTACCTAAGGATTTTAATAGGACAACTTTGTATAACACATGATTATACATACATCATGTCTCTTTTCATTGACCATGTTTTTCTTAATGGTTTTTTTGACAAGATTTTTAACGAGGCATAATTATAGAAAGATAATGTTCAAAGGGGGGTGTTATAATTATTTTCTATGTATGACCATTATCTTCGCTAGCAGTTAGTTATTATTCTTATTGTTTAAGGATAAATATAATTATGTAAAACTATTCTATTAGATGAGGAATGATGAATGAGAATCTCTCGTGCATTTTCCCTGCACTATCAATTACTGTTTTGATATTTTCTCTTTCTAGTTTTCCTTGTTCTATCTTTTTGGCGTAACAATCAATCTACCGAATATTAAATCCAGAAGGTTAACGAATATCGCATAACTGAGACAAGTCCATAAATATTACAAATTATTTAAATTTTGTAATAATTAAAATTGATAAATGTCAAATAGACCCTTTTAATTATATACCAAAATTCAATTAGACCATCGAACTAAAAAAATAAATAAATCAATTAGACCCTTAAACTTGTTAAATTTGTACAATTAACATATGAGCAAATACCAATTTTGGTCCCACAAGTTTTAGCAAAATGACAGTTTTGGTCCACATATTTAATTCCTACCAATTTTCATCCACGACTATTGTTTTAGTACCAATTTTCATTCACAATTATTGTTTTATTGCCAAAATTCATCACGCCGGTCACTCCTTCGTTTAAGACATGCCGGAATATGAAATTATTAAGGGTAGTTTCGTGCTTTCAAATTAGGATCCATATTTAAGCATGAATAAAGGGATTTAAGCCCTAAGATCTATCCCAATTCGCAGTTTTTCTCCTCAAATTAAGGCAGGATGAGGAGGAGAACTGCGAATTGGGATCCATCTTAGAGCTTAAATTCATTTATTTATGCTCAAATTGAAATATTAAGTTGAAAATAACGAAAATGCCCTTAAAATTTTTAGATTTCGGGATGTCTTAAATTGATGGGTGACCGACGTGATGAATTTTGGTACTAAAATAATAGTCATGGATTAAAATTGGTATTAAAACAATAGTCGTGGATGAAAATTGGTAGGAATTAAACATGTTGACTAAAACCGTCATTTTGCTAATACTCGTGGGACCAAAATTGGTATTTGCTCATTAACATATTTAAAAAGTTACCAACGATAACATGTCAACTTTGCTTAGCTTACATGACATCTTATGTAGAATCTTATTTAAAAATTAAAAAAAAATTCTAAAAAAACTAATTAAAAAAAAAAATTACTTTCCAGCGCAATGCTTCCCCATTTTGACGGAGAAGCCGTCCTGAGCTTCTCGTCAAGCTTCTTTGTCCATGGCAGCTGCCATAGACAAAGAAGAAATGGCAAACAAGCTGCTATGGACGACTGCCAAGCAACTTGGCTACCATGGCGGGCTTTTATCCAAAGATTGGATAGAGAAGCCCGCTAAGGTTCTTTGTCGATGGCAGCCAACCTGCCATGGACAAGAAATTATGGCAGCTTGGCTGTCATGTTTTTTTTTTTTAAATTAAATTTTTAATTTTTTATGAATGAATATTATTGTTGAAGATAACTATGAGGATGAGAACAAAGAAACAGATCATTTGCAAACCTTGGGAGGCATAATGACGAGAGCAAGGGCGAAGATATTTCATGAAGTTTTGAATGGCTTTATTAAAGGAGTAAGTGAAGCTAATCAAGAATATAAAAATAGAGTTGAATTGAAGGTGGTCAATCTGATTCAGACATAATTTGAAGAATAAAGATCGAGTGGAGGTTCATACCTTATAAACCGACACTTGGAGTATTTTTTCTTGCAAATAAAAGTTTAAAGACTATTTTAGACGGTCCATATACTATTTAATTTGTAAAGTCCATATTAGGCTTATAAATCCTAAATTCAATTAGAATTTAGTTTTTTTAAAACCTATTTGACTTAGTTATCCTAGTCTTGTGGCTAGTTGCATCTTTTAAGCTACACTAGAATAGCTCATTTTGAACTTAAAAGCCATTGATGTGGGGGTTGGCTAAAGTGTATAAATAGCCTTGCTATTATTTTGTTTGGAAGACAACTTTGATAGTAGTAAATTCAAGAATATTGTTGTGGTAATTTCTTTTCCTTGAGTTCTTGAGGAGTATTTTGACTTATCTTGGGATTTATCTCCTAAGTGACGTCAACTATTATCTCCATCCTTGGAGTGGCGAGACTTCACATTACCACATTCATTCCTTTGCTTCCATCGCCCAACCATCTTTCTTTCTTGACCGGAGCCCACAACAATTTTGGTATCAAAGCTTTGGAGTCAAATCCTTACATGAACAGGTTACAATCATTCCCAAATTTCAGTTTTTATACATGCAACGTAAGTTATATTCTGTTGAGTATTTACTGAAATTTTTGAGCTTGTTCTTAAGTGTCATATACGTACTTCATTCATATATTCTTCTAT